CCCTGCCCATGCCAAGCAAGAACCTGGTTTTAACGTATTAGTTACTACCTTCCCGGTGTAGGCTAACAAGCTTCGTGTCTCTTGCTTCATTCATAATGTTCCTCTGGTTCAGCTCCCTATTTAAACACAACTTTGATCTGACAGGCTGTGCTCCTGCTTCTGTGCCCCAAATAGCTGAACATTCTTCTCATGCTTCCTGGGTCTCTGGGGCAAGCCTGTACTTAGAAATCAGACTGCTGTATGTTTTGTTATATCACCTAGCTCCATCTAAGCATGGCTTTGTATAGCTCTAGGTAGACTTACTGTGGAAGTCATGATGAATTCATGTAAAAGATATCTCATTAGAAGTATTTCCAAGGAATACATAGTGGTTAAACTAATACCAAGATTTCATATAATCACTAGCTAATATGTGAGATTTCTGTATGTTGTTCTTTGAGAACACTGTAGTGTGAATCTATATTCAAATCTTTTTCTGTGGTTTAAAAGTCATATTCCACATCTTTGCATATAGCCACAGGAAATGTGTTCTGCTCGGAGGTTAGAGCCAAAATGATGAAATCCCCACTACCACAAACTGTAGAGCACAGGGTTCAGATGAAGCTTCTTCAGCTCCATTCATTGCCATTCACTGCATTAAAATACCTATAATTTAAGCAACAATATGGGCTTGGAAGAGCTTGCAAAGAAATGTACACTCCACTACTCCTTGGAGATTGCAAACAATATCAAAATACCCTTCCCGTAACCTGTAAAATTTTCGCCAACACTCACTGTTTGTTTTTTTTTTTTTTTCTCTCTGCTTACTGTCTAGGAATGTGGCCTTGGATTTTATCGTGAGAATAAAGGATTATTTACTGGACGCTGTGTTCCCTGCAACTGCAATGGGAATTCAAATAGGTGTCAAGATGGTACTGGAAGATGTATTGTAAGTAACTAATAACATTCAAGAAATGAATTGGAAAAAAAGGAGAAAAAAACATTTACTTACAGCAGTATGGATGATACAGTATTGTTAAATTCCAAGCAACTAAAAATAATCCTTGCCTGCCTCATTCTCTAGACCTTGTACTGTTAATAAGTGTAAGTTGCATACACTTATATATATGTTTAATGTAACTGTGGGTGATCAGAATAATTTGTGTCCTTGGTTTTGTTTTCTTCTTTCCCCTATGCTTTTTGTTAGCTGATGGTACAAAAAGTCACCAAATTAGTACATAGATAAGTGTTTGCAGTTATTTAGAGTAAATATGGCTCTTATCCTGGCATGTGCAGTCCTTAGTTTTATACATACATACTAGGGTTTGCCAATGCTGACAAATAGCACATTCATGCATAGCATAGCCTTTGCAGAATCTTGTTTAATCAGCATTAGTAAATTTCCACTAATCTTAATTTACAGCTAAACGGATTAAAAAATATTGGAATAAATAAGATGAGATAAAGAGGATAAAAGTTAGATTAATGAGAAAATTTCAGCTATTACAGAAGATACAGTGGGCAGATTTTGCTCCCTGGCACACCGTATTAAACCCAAAGCAGCCTCATGGGAGTGGATCAGCCCTCATAGCAATGCAAGTGTCACATTTGGCCAACTGTGCTTCTGCGGCTTATATCCGTGACGCTCCTTTGAACAGTTTGTTCTGAAAAATTTCTACTTAAAAACTTTTCACTAATTTTTCTTTACTGTGTAAATAAGAACTTGGCCAACATCTTTCATGGTCGGTCTTCTCTGTTATTTCTTCCTTGTTGGTGCTGCATCCGTTCTGCCTGCGGTGCATTCCTGTGCGTTATGTCATTCCCTCCGACTTCGTCTCAACCAACCCTCTTTGCTTTACTGGAAACTATAACCCAATTCAGCACATTCTGGGGGATGACTTACAGGCTGCTGCTTTGGAGAGGCAGGGCAGGCCGTGACAGGAAAGTGCTGCAGCTGAGCTATAAAGACAAGGAAGTTTTACTTCAGATGAAAATTGTAAAGGGAAAAAAAATGCAAATTTCACTTTTACCTGTGATTTAAGTTTCTCTTTATCCTCTCCTTCTCACAGCTGGATTAACTTTCAGATAGATAGACCTAAATCAACACTTGGCCCTGGGACAAAATTTAGGGCAAGCAAAGTCATCCAGGTTAATGCGATGAAAAATGAAAGCCCAGAGGGCCTGTATTTCCATCATGAGCCTCCACCTAATAAGGAGCAAGCTTGTCTCTCTGTAGAAGAGCCATGGGGCAAAGACCTGCAGTGGTACAGAGAAGACAAGGAGGCTTCCCAATGCGGAGTCGGCAAGTTTCATATCCAAAGTGCAAAGCTTGCTCGCTTGGCCTCCTTCTTCCTGCTCCTTACATGGAGCACTGGACCCCAGTACCTTCGCATGTCAGCATGTCTCCAGTGAGAGCCTCCAGAGAGGCTTTGTGAGGCTAAGCCCAGGCTGACTCACTGTGGGAGCAGTCCAATCCTCCCCAGCTCAGGCCATAGCTGTCCCGCTGCGAGCAGGTGGAAGGAGAGGGCTGCAATGCTGCGCTGCTGGAAGTGGAGGAGAAGGGAGTGCAGGAGGACATGGAGAAGACAGAAGAGCTGGTTCTCATGTGTAGGAAGCTGGCCCTCTGCCATTAGTCAGGCTTTTTGTCCTCATGGTCCCTGCCCTTCCTCCTGAAAGGCGCGTTCCCTCAGCAGCAGCGTGGTGCTGAGACTTGCTCATCCCATGACATGTTGTTTCATGTCACGTAACCCCATGTACGTAGGTTGTGGCCCTGACGCACTCTGCTCTGGCTTTCTTGTACCATATGGCTGCACATGGAGTCAGCTGAGAGTTTTCCTTTCAGAGTTTGCAGTACTTGATGGTTGGGAGATGCTGTGACTCCAGAGGTGTCTCTGACCCTGTGAAATTTGAAGGAAGACCCATGAGGGAGTTGCTGCTCTGGCTTCATTCCTCTGTGCCTTGGGAGCTCTGGTCCTTATATACCATATAGCTAGAGGAACAGCATGGCACATTTAGAGTGGCTTATATGTGAAATATCTTAAACTTTCTTCACAATTATGGAATTACTTCAGTTTCTATAGACAGAGTGAGCAGAACAAAAAGCCAGGAGATAAACCTGGGGGTGGGGGAAGTTGCTCCAAGATGAAGCCAACACAAATATTTTTAAATACATCTCTTTTACTCCTTTGCAGTTTAATTTATTCTTCAGGATTACAAAAACTGACAGTAATTATTCAAACAGTCTGAATTTTCCTTGAGCTTTTTGCAGAAATACATGCACCAGCTTTTGTAGAGGCTGCATTTTAAAATGGTTCCTTTTAAAAACAGAGCGTCTTCATGTTACTTTAGCTTCCTCTAGTTAAATGTCCCATATGTAAACTGGAGCTTTTCCTGTTCTTTCCCAGAACTTTTCACAATTGGGCCACAAATTTAGTTCTTTAACAAAAATGAAAACAAATTAGGGGTTACTACGTGTCAGAGGCTGAGGGAAGGGCTGTTGGGGTGGTTGAGGGAATCTGGAGTGTGAAGAAATGTGGAGGAGAATGGAGTATAAGAGGAGATGGGAGAGAGCGCACTGTTTCTCGTTTCTAGGGAAAAATGCCCCTGTGCTGCATGTCACAGTAGCAGGGCATTCAACCATAGCCCTAAGCCATCGAGGGCTCTGAAATGGAAGTGTAATTTGCTCAGTGACTGCTTCCAGCCAAGTTCCCACTTTCTTTTTCCATCTTTCACTTGATTAGCACACCCTCAACTCTGTGGGACATTGGATCAGTCTGTTGCATGCTGAAGGAAACAGTTGTAGAACTTGGGAGTGTGAATGCTTCTTGAGTATTGGTCACATGGAGTTTTTATGGCCACTCAAAAACGTATTTGAACAACTTCTGTTTTAAATTAGCATTGCTTTAGGTAATGCAAAAGCAACTTGATTATTCTCTCCCCATAATATATAAATGTGTGTGACAATTAGACAGCACCAGGAATAAGAATGTTTCTAAAATAAGATATAATTCTCAACAATTTCATCATGGAAAAAGTGGCTCAGTTGTATGTTTCAATTGTTTTCGTACCCTTTGCTTTTCATTACTTGTTCCAGTTACCCCAGATAAATACAAATAACACAGACACTGGAGAAATTACATGAAATTCAATTCTGATCTGAATCTACTGAGAGAAATACTTTTTTTATTAATTTAATGGGATTTTTTTTAAGAATATACTTGGGCTCAATTAATTGCATGCTTTTAAATGACATCTGCCTTCTAATTAGTGTTAAGATGCAAAATTTAAAGTTCCATTTAAACATAGTGATTTTTAATTGAAATATCAAGACGTGGAGAGCGTGTTAATGGCATGTTCCTTAACAAACTATGCATTGGATTGGATTTCTTTAAAACTATGTTTAATGTTGTTTGTTTATCATCTGTTGCTTTTCCACAATAGTGAGCAAATTGCGGTTTCTACAATTGGAGGATGACTGGAACCAATCTATCCTGGTTGTAAAGGCACTTTGGCAATAAGTGCTTGAGTATGCGGAAGGGAAAGAACATATCCTCTGAGTAGATTAGCTATATTTTTTTTCAATAATAATAAAGCCATATTGACTGGTAAAGCACTGTTAACTGTCTTGCTTGTTTCCTTTTGAAGAACTGTCAGTATAATACTGCCGGGGAGAAATGTGAGCGCTGTAAAGATGGTTATTTTGGAGATGCCACTCAAGGTTCCTGCCGGGTGTGTCCTTGCCCGTATACAAACAGGTACACTGAAAGGTCATAAGACGTCAAGTAGGGGAGGGGAAAAAGAAAAAAAAGAGGAAAAAAAAAAAAAAGCCCAAACCCTGCTACCATAGGAAGATAATGATCTTTTTCTGTATTCTCATACTGCCCAGCGTAGTGGGGCATGAGAGCCATTTGAAGCACGTTAGACCAGCAGTAACTTGGTGGTCTGTCTCACGGCATTGCCTTTTTTTTAATAAGCTGAGTATTCCAATTCTCACTCAGTTCCTGAACCACAAAGGCGTGCTGCTCATCGCCTGGGGAAGGCCCAGGCAGTTGTAATGGTACAAAACCACAGTAACTCCTTCATAGTGAGAAATATAGGATGGAAATCTTTTCCCTTACTGGGTATATCCAGAATCCTTCTTATTTACTGAAACGCAAGATGTAAGTTATCTTTAGTCTCACGTTTAACATCATTACTTTGGCTAGGAGATAAGTGACAATGATGAAACAAGCCTTTTATATGAATTCAGAAAATTTAGTAAGATGCAAAAATAATATAAAAACACTGAAGCTCTTAAGCACGTACCAAGATTTGTGAAAAAGTATGGTTGCTCTTCAGGTGGAAGCTCTGTTTGAAGTGCAAACATACTGAGCTAGAAAAAATTACATTTCCTTGGATCTAATAAGGTTGCCATTCTTTTAAAATGGAGCAGTAAATTGCATTTTAAATGCATGGTATGTTTAGCCACATTGTTTGTCATCATTGGTCAGTTCTGAAAGTGAAATGTGTTAAACAAAACCAAGTATTTAAAAAAACACAAGTAAGCTATAAATTGCTAAAGGCATCACGTAGTATTTGCCAGGTGCATTAGCAAACTCCAAGTAGCCTTAAGTAAGAGATTGACACTATCAGACAATAGACAGGTTTTTTATTTATCTGAGAACTCTCTGACAGATCTGTTTTTGACAGCATTGGCCTCTTCTGCAGGTGCCTGCCTGAGGCTGACAGAACATATTTTTATTCATCTTTTGCTTTAAGAGTGCTGAAATACCTAGGGACACCATAAACCTGTGCAGTTTCATAGCTGCACATTAGGGTGGTAAATACCATTCCTGACATAGGAAATGCACCCCACCTGGCATTATTGGAGTTGACAGTTTTCCACCTAGTCAAATTATATGTAATTCTTAGTGCAGATATCTGTCTTTGATACACAGACTTGCTTTATCCAACTGTTCATAGATTGAAAAATGGAAATAGCAAACATGGCCTATCCTTGCTTCACCTCCTGCCTTCTCCTTCCCAAACATTGGCCAAAAACCGGTTTTTCTCCCAGAGAAATCTGAATCTAGATGAGTCTGCTAGAAAGAGCAGACAAAAGTGTTCATTGTGTTAACCAGATATACTCTAGAGCTCCCCAAAATGGTGCACAACTCTATTCTGCCTTGGTTAAAAAAAAATCAAACAATATTAGCTACATAAAAATATCCTCTAATGCTTCCATCCATAAAAAAGAAAAAAAAAAAAAAAGCTATCCAAACAGGAGGAAATGTTGTCTAGTGCAGGCTATTGATTCTTGCCTAGTAAGATAAAATAGCTACCCAGACTTATTTTATTTTATGACATCACTATTAAGGTTTATTTTAGGCATTCCTTTGGGTAGCGAACTATTCTGCTCAGTCCAGAGCATCAGGAAATGGTTATTTTTTAGTCTAAGGAAAGAATTTAGAGGAAAAATATGAAACTTCAAAGAATTAGTCACAGCAATTTATCTAGAGGCAATTAAATTAGCTGAGAAGTAATTTGGTGGTATAAAAAATTTTAATGTGAAAGTCAATTAACTGAGCTTAGCCTCTAGAGTGTAAAACCTATTTGGTGATGTGCTCACAATAATATTTTTGCTTCTTCTCAAAGATTTGCAACTGGCTGTGTGGCAAATGGTGAAGAAATTCAGTGTCTCTGCAAAGAAGGCTATACCGGAGTTCGTTGTGAACGGTAAGTGCCTTGTCTCTCAAGACCAAGGTTTTTGAGAGACACCATAAAAAGACATATGTCTGTATTGGGTAATATATATGGACGTACACATATGCATAGTATGCACATGCTTAAGGAGTATCTATTTATATGAAGAGCTGCTATAGTGTGGTGCTATAGTGTAATTCTAGACATAAACCCAACACTCCCTGAAGAAATGTAAATAATTCTCCACAGACTATTTAGTGACTGCACAGTTTGTACCAAAAATAGACGTGTCAGCCTCTTTGCCTAAGTGCCCTGTGCCTTGCCTTATCCT